AGTAATTTTGTTACTATCATTGAATGATAGACCATCATCGCTAATGAGTAGAATAAATCAATTTATTACCGTGTGTATTTTTTACACATTAACAAATAAAAAAAAATTGCATGTCTGGTTATGGCGCCTTTATCTTCTTTATAATTGAAATTGTGATAATTATTAATAGTTTAGTTAATTTTAGACACCCTACAATTTCTAATCTTCACTTCAATTTTCATGGTTGTTGACTAAGAAAGGATTTTAGATTAGTCTTTTATTAGTTCTTGATGAGAACCAAGAAAATATTTTATATTATAATTGAATAAAATTGAAAAAGAAAACAATATTTTGTTTCATTCTAATCATTTTAATGTATTAAATATATTTTTTTTATTTATTACTCTAATTACTTTTAAAAAAATTGTTTCGTTCTAGTAATTTCATTGTATTGAATAAATATCGCTAACTACTTAAATCTAAATAATGACATTTAATTAATGCATATATGATAGTTTAATAAATTTTATCGAGATCATAAGACATCTATGACTACACTGCATGAATTATGATTTCTTAATCATATTTAAAGGGTAATTAGCAGAAAACGTCCCTAACATTTACACTCATTGCTAAAATAGTCCTTATCGTTTTAAATTTGGCATTTGCACCCTTATTTCAAACATTTGTTGCGGAATGGGTCCTTCTGTTAAATTCCGTTAAATCCACGTTAATAGAGGAATTTTGGTTTTGAATTTTTTTTATTTTTTGTCTCAATTTTGCGGGATTATTATGGAAAGTCAAACGAAGTCGAAATATTACATTTTTAGTACCATTTCGAAGTGCTCATGATCTAATTTCTCTCATCCCTAACAGCGTGCGAAACGGCCAACCGTAGCGAAAGTTACCACTCGTCGAAACAGGTCGTTCCAAAATATATACACAATTTTTCTTATTTTTTGTCTCCACCTTGCGGGATTATTACGGGAAGTCAAACGGAGTCGAAATATTACATTTTTAATATCATTTCGAAGTGCTCATGACCCAATTTCTTCCATCCCTAAAGGCGTGAGAAATGGTCAACCGTATCGAAAGTTACCACTCGTCGAAGCAGGCCGTTCCAATATAAACGATTTTTCATATTTTTCGTCTCTATTTTGCGGGATTATTACGGGAAGTCAAACGAAATCGAAATATTACATTTTTAATATCATTTTAAAGTGCTCATGACCTAGTTTCTCCCGTACTTAACGGCGTGCGAAACGGCCAACCGTAGCGAAAGTTACCACTCGTCGAAGCAGGCCGTTCCAAAATATATAAACGATTTTTCATATTTTTCGTCTCTATTTTGCGGGAAGTCAAACGAAGTCGAAATATTACATTTTTAATACCATTTCGAAGTGCTCATGACCTAATTTCTCCTATCCCTAACGGCGTGTGAAACGGTCAACCGTAACGAAAATTACCACACGTCGAAGCAGGCCGTTCCAAAAAATCGTATTAAAAATGTAATATTTTGGAACGGCCGCTTGGACGAGTGGTAAGAAAATGGAGACATTAGGTCATGAACACTTCGAAATGATATTAAAAATGTAATATTTTGACTTCGTTTTGTCTTCCCATAATAATCCCACAAAATAGAGACAAAAAATAAGAAAAATCGCTTATATATTTTGGAACGGTCTGCTTCGACGAGTGGTAACTTTCGTTACGGTTGGTCGTTTCGCACGCCGTTAGGGATGGAAGAAATTAGGTCATGAGCACTTAGAAATGGCATTAAAAATGTAATATTTCGACTTCGTTTGACTTCCCATAATAATCCCGCAAAATGGAGACGAAAAATAAGAAAAATCGTTTATATATTTTGGAACGACCTGCTTCGACGAGTGGTAACTTTGGTTACGGTTGACCGTTTCGCATGCCGTTAGGGATGGGAGAAATTAGGTCATGCGCACTTCGAAATTGTACTAAAATGTAATATTTCGACTTCGTTTGACTTTCCGTAATAATCACGTAAAATTGAGACAAAAAATAAGAAAATTTCAAAACCAAAATTCCTCCATTAACGTGGATTTAACGGAATTTAACAGAAGGACCAATTCCGCAACAAATGTTTGAAATAAGGGTGCAACTGCCAAATTTAAAACGATAAGGACTATTTTAGCAATGAGTGTAAACGTTAGGGACGTTTTATGCTAATTACCCATATTAAATTAGTGATACTTTCAATTATTACGTATTTTTTCATGTTTCATCTTACAATTCAAAAGTCAATTCATGAAAAGGAAAATAAAAAAAAAAAGATAAAAAATCATATTTCTTTAAGAAGTGAATAATAAAATTTAAGAAAATTATTGGAAGATGAATAAGTTACTTCACGGCGGCGCCACCCCACCTTATATGCGTCAACCACCTAACCACCCCCATCACACCCCACCCACTTACTTTTGACTATTGGATAAGAAAATTAAGGGACTTAATTAATTACTCTAATAATAAATAATTTATCTTGTAATTTTATCGGATCTGAACTTATATAATAGAATTTAAAATGTACCTTATATTATATTTTTTTATTATTAATTTTGATTTTATAGCTAAATTGAATAAAAGGATATTTTATTATTCTTTACTTGCAAACCTCTCCAAAATCCTCTTTTGGTTGCCTCTAGGTAAGTTTCTAGCTCCATTATGCATAAATAAGTGATCATTTACAAATATTAATTTTATGCATTAGATTAATAAACATAATTTAAAAAGATAACATTTTATTCGTTATACTACATTCTATATATATGTTGAAGATTATCATTTAATAGAATAGTTGATGAAAAACTTATTTATCAGAATTTTTTTTCGAGACACTGAGACGATTATCGCATGTTTAATATGTTGAACTTGATTACAATTCACACTGAATGTTCACCAGGGTCTAGATTAAGCTGTTTGGTGGGGGATTAAAATTAAATTTTTAAAAGATTTTGACAAAAGTTGATGAAATGTGTAATTGAAAAGTTGTAGGACCAATAAAATATGTAGTTAAAATTAATTATTGATTTTAACTTAAATTAAAATTAAAATTTTAATTGGTACCAAACGGAGGCTAATACTTACTTAAGGTTCACTGTAGATACTTATGAATAGCAACACTCACAATCGCATCATAGTTTCTTTCTTACACTTTTACTCACCACTATTCATTCTCTCACTCTAATTCTTTCTAAGCCCTTTTTGGGGCAATTTTTGGATCCAATATGGAAGTCTTGGAAGAGTATTTAGGGTCCAATGATCATTTTATTGTTAAAGGGAAACGTACCAAGCGGCAAAGGCCATCATCCTCCACCTTGTCATCAAGCGGCGCCACCGCCCCAACCGGTGGAGACGGAGGAGGAGGAGGTGAGTTTTATTCGTTCGTTTCCTCCCCCACAACCTCAATTTCTACGAATTCCGAGGAAGATGAAGATATGGCCAATTGTTTAATCCTTTTGGCAAAGGGTGGTGTTTCACTACCAGAAAATGCGACATCAGCAACAAAAGATAGCATTTATGAATGTAAAACTTGCAATAGAAGTTTTCCATCATTTCAAGCATTAGGAGGCCATAGAGCAAGTTACAAGAAGCTGAAACCATCGGAAAATGATCGAAAAGAAGCTCCGGTCAGCGCCCGGTCCGGCTATCAAGAAGAAGAAGAAGAGAAATCCCACAAAAGTTTCCATTGCTATACTCATTATAAGCCTAAAATTCTTGAGTGTTCAATATGTGGTTCAGAGTTTTCATCAGGACAAGCATTGGGAGGACACATGAGAAGATATAGGAACCCTAATAGTACAAGAGTTAATGAATCATCATCCAATGATGGTGAAGAGCCTAGAAATATTCTTGCATTGGATCTCAACCTTCCGGCTCCGGCAGAAGACGGTCACCGGCTGGGGTCGGGGTCGAAGTTTCAATTTTCTTCCAACCATCAAGGTCTAGTCTTCTCCGCCAAGGCCTTGGTGGATTGCCACTACTAGGAGAAAGAGGATGGACTGATAATTATTGTTCTATTTGAAAAATTCACTCACAAATTTTTTTTTTTCATTAACTAATCTTTGAACACTTCATTTGTTTTCATGTAATGTTGAAATACAATTCTTTTGAGTGAGCAAGTGGTTAGTGTTCATGGTTGCCTTTCATTCAAGAGAAGTAAGGCATCTTTTTTCATTTTACTATCCAACCTACCCTACCCCACCCCCAGTGGAGTGGGGTGGCAATGCTATTTGGTAAGGTTAGGCATAACCAGCAGCACAACTAAAGTCATGGATTAGGTTGTAGGATCTTGATATGTTTTTAATGATAAATAAAGCTTAGTTCCCGTTTGGTTCAACTAAAAATTTTGATTAAAATTTGAGTTAAAGTCAGTATTTAATTTTAACCGCATATTTTGTGAGATTTAAAACTTTTCAATCAAACATTCCACCAACGTTTATCAAAATCTACTAAAAACTTGATTTGTATCTAAACCAAACATGTGTTAAATAAAAACCACATTTCCTTCAGCGCATGCTTCATTACTTGACAAAGATTAATGAAAGTAAAAATTGGTATTTTGTAACCGATATTAATTTATTGATTCAATATTATCTACTCTAGCGGACGTCTTCATATCGTGTTACGACATATTTGGTTCCACTAGCTTAACATGGAGTTGCATTTCATTAGAGCTGATTCTTTGTTTCACCAAACATACACACAAGAGGGTGTTTGTTATGTGCACGTTTAAGTGATTCTTGTTAAGCCAAGCGTGCTCTTGCGTGAGTTGTCAAAAATACAAAAGATATTGGGAGGTTGTGATGATTCATTGAGATAAGCACACATAGTAGAGGACTACCATTACTACAATTTACAATTTGCACTATTGAACAAATATTTATCTTTTTAATAAAGTGGTTTAAGATTGAACACGTCAGTCAATACTCAAATTGTATTCTTATATATCGTGTACTCTTAAATTTAGCAACACATATTTAAAACGTGTAGAATGGATCTCCTGTTCACGGTGGACAGGATTTTTGTTGCCCACCAGTCTGTATGACAACGGATCACACCTTTTTAGTTTGCCAAAAAAAAAAAAAAAAGCAACTTGACTGCCAATATTGTAAGCAAAATTTATCATGTTCAATTTAGGTAGAAGATCAAGTCCGTTATAGCATGTCCCAACAAAGCTAGTGAGTTTCTTATACACAATGTTGTCCAAATTTTATATTGGAAATAGTAGAAGGTCAATTGGGCCACGTAATTCAGTGGCCCACTAAAAACTTGGCTTGCCAAATGAGGTGTGCAAAGCATGTATGGGCTATTTAATTAGCTCATTCCAATCCAATGGCATCATGTGGACAACTCCATTGAGGTGGCTACCTTTTCAACTTGACATAATTATGGCCCGTTTGATATAATTTTTGAAAGGTTAAAAAGTTTTTGAAATTCAAAAGTCACTTTTGAATAATTTGGCTAATTTTAAGAGAAGCACTTCTAAGTAAAAAAATTTTTAGAAGAAACTAATCCAATGTAATTTTCTTTAAAAACTCTTATGGAATAGAAAATTCTTTTAAAACTTAGTTTTCAAATAAAATTAAAATAGTTTTCTCCAAAAACTCTTTACAAAAAGCAAAAGTTATACCAAATGAACCTTTAACTCCTGTTTGGTACACATTCTTTCAAAATACATTATTTTAAAACTCATTTTCGATCACACATTCTTTTCTCATCACGTCACTATTTAAAATACATTCTTTTCTCAATAATATCCATCATATACACCCTAAAACTTTCCAATTAAATAGGAAATATGCATAAATATAAACAAAATAATCATCAAGAAATATGTACACACAAAAAGTGGTGTTTGATGCCATTACTATGCTTGCACATGTAGATTGGGCACGCCATCCACAAAAACTTTCATTGTATATAGCTACATAGTAGGGTAAACCGAACTAACCTTGAAGGAAGAAATGGATAGCATGTCTTCTGAGGACTACCCACACTTGCTCTGTTTTTTGTTCTCCATTCATTTTTTTTTCTCCAGTTTTTAGAACTTGAGTTTCGTCCTAGGCTAGAAGACAACTAGTTTAAAAAGAAAGAGGCCAATAAATAATATTAAATATATTAGATTGAGCCAGAAAAATAAGTATACACCTCAATTGAACCGAGGGTTATAGTGCAGACAAATTACACTCGAAGCCGTAAGCTAATATTGCATGAGAGGCACGACACTCCCATTACACAACATATTGAATAGAATACACAATAGTTATGAAAGTTACAAATGGTTTAAACTATATATAGTAAAATATCAGCGGTGTCTTAATACTTGTAGATTCCTTAAAATGTGTTAAGAAAAAGTGAATTGAGTGTTTATAAACAATTTATAAATATAGGCTAAATTAAACAAGATATTTCTCATCACCTCTGCATAAATTGAAAGTGAAAAACATTGTGTTAAGAAAAAGTGAATTGAGCGATTATAAACAATTTATAAATATAGGCTAAATTAAACAAGATATTTCTCAACACCTGCATAAATTGAAAGTGAAAAACAAATTCGAGAACCTCATCAATGGTTGACCTAATCTATAAAAAGATTTAACATACACTGAAACCACTTGAGATGCTAAAAAGTTCCAAAATTTTCCCAATGAACAATTCAATGAATCTGAAAATCAAATTGCAAATTCGAAAAGTTTGACTAATAGCTAATCATCGACAGAATCAACACCAAAGATCATAAAAGATTTTGCAATCACAAGACAAGAACATGGCAATCATCTTTTCTCATTACACCATTCCACACAAAGCTTCGATATGATAAAATTCAACGGCAAAACTAAAAACTGGGATGCATATTGGCCATTGTTATCAAAATGACACATTTAAAAAGAGCAAGAAGTTGTCCAAGTCAAAAACTTCTACTAGCATTTTAACATCACCAAAGATGGGAATGATTTACACAAAGAGGCAAGTATGAAAAATCTTTGGCCCAGAACATTCGATAACTGAGCATCAGCAACCAAGTGACGTGTATATGTATATAAAAGATAAAGCAATAAAATCTGTCATAATCCTTTGATACTTGCAAATGAATTGGAACATTCAAGAAAGTATCTGAAGTACAAACAGTAAATTTCAATTACTATAGAGATCAAAATCATTGAAACAGATTTTCAGCACTTAATCCTGGACTAGGTATCTCTAAATACTTAGAACATTCACCTAGAGAACACAAATTTCATATCGTAAAATCTTATATAGTAAGTTCATTTCTAGCAGAAATGAGAATTTCAGCAACAGGAAAACCAGAGGAATGATTATTCACTTGGCAAGAATTTGCGGAGCTTGATTCTCCTGCTGCTGCTGATAGTTCAGTGGCCTCCTGAAGAGCATGATGTGTGGCTCAGGACGGTGAACTGCATAATGGACCCACCCACGACTTTGCTGAACCCCAATCGCGCGCCATTCATTCTAAAAATGACAAAATCAAGCCACATTGAGAAGCCCAAATTTACAAAAACCGACTTCTAAGTTTTACATGAATGAAGATAATAGAGACAATTATATAAACTTTATTTAAATTTTTTATTTATCCAACCACAATCATTATGCCTGAAGATGATAATAATTTTTAGTTTGCTGTGATCCTCTATTGAGTTTTGCAGAAAATAGTAAAAACTTGATAGGATGCAGCAATTGAATCAAGAATTGAGCAATTTTTCCAATATTTATTTACAAAAAGCTTACCAATTATATTTATACTTATCAAACACAGCTCATTAATTAATGCATTTAATTTCGACAAAAAATAAAACAAAGAATTACAAAACCTAATTTTCTCGGCATTTTCATTTTTCAATTAACTAACACAAAGAAGCAGCTTTCGCTGAAAAATGTTAACCCTAATTATGAAAAACTTACTTCAGAGAGAAGACGATTCTTGGGAAGCAATTTAGCCACTTCTGGTGGAAGAACAACGTGCCTGAAAATACCAAAATCACACAAAAAAATGCAAGATTATCATCAGGCAACAAACAACATAACAATTACAAAAACAAATAATTCAAATAAATTAGAAAAACACCTGTACTCGTAGATATCGTCGAAGTACTTTTCTGAGTACTGGATCTGACCCATTTCGTATTCGCCTCCAAATTTCACGATTTCTTGATTCTTGATTAAATCATCTGAAAGAGACAATTAAATTCAAAAAAGAGTCAAAGAAAAGCCCAAATATGTACTTCTATATTTTGAATCTACAGAAGAAATGCTACATACATGTGAATATAATATAACTGTGAGAGAGAGAGAGAGAGAGAGGATATGTGAGGAGAGGATGTATATTTTTATTCAACGAAAAGGTTATTTTTGGAATTAAATAAAATGGTAACGTTCTAATTGGGTTAATTTTAAATTTCAAAATTTGAAAATTTTCCCGCTTTAGTTAATGTGCATCAACAATATGTCAATAACGGTCACGTAGAGATGGATTAGTTTGGCAAATTATTTTAAGTGCCCTTGTTTGAGACGTAAAAAATAATATATTTTCTTTTAATATTGAGTGATTAAAAGGTAGTAAAAAATAAAAATTCAAGTGCAAAATTATTTTATTGAGAAAATATATAATTAAAAATAAGTTAAGAAAAAATGAGTAAACTTTGATAAAAATTGATAAAATATGTGATTGATAATCAATTTTGTTATTTTATTAATATTAACAATAAAAGAAAAAACTATTCTTCCGCACCTAGAACTAGGGGCAGGTAGAAATTCCCGATCATTCATTTTTAGGCCCACCAGACTAGAGGTGAGTATGGGTCTATTTTGAGCCCAATCCAAAATAAAACCGACTTGATTTGCTTAAATTGATTTGAGCTTTATATGAGCATACTTAAGCTAAGCCATGTGTGCTCTATACCAAGAAAATTAAAAAGGAAAAAAAAAAAGTTAGGTAGTTGAAAAATAAATCAAATATACTAACATA